TCGTATTGACGTATGAAAATTGTACCCCCACTATTTGGTCAACCACTAATTTGGTCAATCATCTCATTCGACGGGTCAATCATCATTGAGTCACACTTATTTGGGGATATTTGGGGTACACCCGATTCTCAGACACAGCTACTGTGGGTTTCCAGAAAACCCCAGTTGAAAACGGTGGTAAACATCCCACTATTTATAGGGTTTTAACATGTTTTAACATGTTTTAACCATTCAAGGTGGTGCAGGATTTCTTCCATCCACAATTGAATCCTCACGCTGCGAGTCACTGAGGCTCCGTATTGGGAAGACCAAAGGCAGTGGCCTCAAACGTTGACAACACAACTGCGATCTGAGGTTCTATCGTGTATGTACATGTATATAATATGAATCAACTATATATTGCATTATTAGTATTAATATTAATTAATCTTATTATATATCGCATTATTATCATCATATATTATATAAATATAATTATACACACATAATTCTATATTGCATTTTACACCACTTACGTATTATATATACATGCATATATAATTTAGCACAGTATACTCAGTTACTGAGTTACTTGATATGCAAATATACGTGCCTATCTAAATACATCGCTGTGGGAATCGCCAGGTGCTTCCAAGCCTCAAGAGGCATGACGCGCGAATGGGGACTGGTTAACCATGGTCTCACGTGATATGTGGATACCCTCGGTTGGGCAACAATCTTGAAGGGGCAATCTCCAGGAAACACACATATACAATCATATATACAAGTATAGCTTTTTTATTTTCTACATATGTACATACATGTGATTTGATTGTTGAAAGAATTTATAAACCATTTGTTTAGATGTTCCCTTCACTCATGCCGGCGATTTCAGACTCTAAAGATGGAAACACATGATAAGTGGGTGCGAAGGGGGAAAAACAACAGTTGTTCGGATAGTCTTGACTTTCGCTGAAATCCATATATCACGATGACTGATGACTATATGTATACAAAATACATACATACCTATATAATCCTATATATATATACATGTATATACATACATTTGTATACAGGATGCTAAAAGTTATATATATATTATACATATTATATTTCTCTTCACGTTCCAAAGGAAACTGAATTCAGACATAGTATAACTTCACCCTCAGGAACTGTGGTGAAAATCAGGGATAGGTCCAGTCGATCGAAAGATATGGATGTGGAGATGCTCCCGATGTCAAAAATGCCCAATACATGAAGCATTTTTTGGTAATATGGATATATACTAATCAAAAAATGGCCAATATCTAATATGGATGTGAAGCATTTGGTAATGCTAAGATGTGTAGTGTGCAAGTGTTCTTGGATTGATCGAACACAGATGTACAGTGTGTACAATGCTCCTTCGTAACACGCTGGGGAGTCAAGTCCAGTATCATGTTCATCGTGGCACTCATGATTATTGAAGGTTGGTTCTCACACATGAAATCTCAAGCAATGAATCAATTCAGAATCTAATTACTTATGAATAACTTATGAACTCCAAGACATTCCAAACCATGTCCACTCTATCACCATTGAAGTTGGCGCTGTCCCCAAGCGATCTCCCAAACGAAGCCCCAGGCGCACGTGGCATTTACCGCGGAGGCCTAAAATGATGGGGTAAAACACCATGTTTGACGGGTACAAATGGAGGGTCTAGGTTTATTTATATTATATATATATATATACATATGATATATATAATATATATATATAATATAAGTATATTACATGTATCAGTATCATATTAGATATATATGTTTTGCTTTGTGCTTTGGAACCATGGAATTTTATGACTTTCCATTCGCCCAGGAAGCCGACAGGTCATCCCATGAGTCGAAGGAAAAGGTCGGGATGGCACCGGGTGATGTGAGCGACCCGGGAATTCGTCAAGGGGATTTCACCCAGAAACACGGTGAATTCATGGGATATATACATATACATATATATATATACATATATGTATATATAATGTGGTGCCCTATAGTTAGCCAAGTTGGTTTATAACTTCAATAAGTATGGTTTATGGTAGATGTATCTATAGTTAATGGGGTTTATAAACCAACTTATGTGTATATATATATATGATTTAACCAACAATAATTAAAGAAGATCATGTGAAGATCATGATCACGATCCACAACCAAGAAATCAGGGATTTAACCCAGAAATGCGGATATATATATAAGCTACAAGATGGGATTTACTTCAATTAACCAAGGAATATATACAACAGATAGAGATATAATAAAAATAATCATAATAATGATGATAATAATAGTGATAATATATATATATACACATAATTATGTCTATATATATACATAGTTATTTCTATATATATATACATACATAACCGAGAAGATAACAATTGGGTTTGCCTCAACTGTTGGAACCAAAAAACGCATCTCATGGCATATCATCATGTTACCCACTAGCATTAGCATGGCCAAAAACTTCTTAATGATGATCCAAGGTGACGTTCACAGTTTTCGCGGGGAAGTGTTAAGACTCTTAAGACCACTTCAAGTTTTAGCTTGAAGTCCAGCTATTTTCGATGTTTGAATCTGTGGATTCCTTGAAAATTTTGAGTACTAGAGTTATATCTCCAGGTGTCGCCAGGTGACCAAAGACCAGGTCCCCAGCTGCAGCAACAGGTCCGGAAAGGCACTGGTTACGTCAGTCTGTCAGAGCTGCCAGATGATGAGGAGATTCCTCCTGTGAATGGATACAATCCAGCAATATTCTGAGTCCGAATCTGGTCATTACACCAACCATGCGATGTTTATACAAATATATTCATATATACATATATATATATGTCTATGTGTGTGTCCGTGTTTTGTATTTCATTTGAACATGATTAATTGTCAATGAAACATGCAAGTATACATACCACGTGTATCCCATAGGATGCATGTAATGTAGGTACTTCTTCTTCCATGAGGAATTACGTCCAAGACTGCGCTCTACAAACATGTAGTTACATTCGGATGTGTTTCGGGATAAACCTGGTAAATGTAAACATATCAAACATGTATTTGGATGATGTGGTAATATATATATATATATATTGGTTTAACGTGTTTAAAATGTATATCAAGAGGTTGTGCTTTTTCAGCCCACTTTGATGCTGACGCTGCAGGAGGAAAGAGGAGTGACATTTGAGGTCGGTCAGGCTGTCCATGGGGGAGCCTGATCGCATGGCGAGGGGGGTTGTCACTCAAGGGGCACTGCTGGCTGAGGACAAATCGTACCAAATGTCGCATGCCTAAGAAATCAAAGGTATCAAAGTTCAGTGATCATTGTCCTGTGCTCTGTCAGGCCCAGCAAAATAGCGGCGAAACCAGAAAATCAGCCCCTTTCTTAGTGATTCTCATGCAGTCCCCAGTGGCAGCCCAGTGTAGTTTGTGATTTTCTGTTATGCTCATCAACGCTCCAGGTCAGAAAAGGAACAGGTTTCCTACACCCCTCAGACTTGCCTGATGATGATGAGGAGGAAGAGGAGCCGAAGCCATAACATGCTATGAGATGCTATGATATGTTTCAAAATCTTCAAAACATGTTCGTGCAAATGGATGCCAAAGAAATGCAAAACCCATGTTGGCTTATCCAGGGTACAATATGCTGGTATGGTACCAGCTGTTTGCAGTGTATCAGGAGGAGAGAGAAGTGAGATTTACCACACCCCAGGCACAGTGTCCTGATTTAGCATGCACTTTTTGAGTGACACATTGTGTTGATGTGCCACACAAATGCCACCGAGACCCATCCGGGTATTGTCCGAACTCATGTCAGTTGAGTCGTTGTATGTCGTTGTGATTCTTTCGGAGATTTTCCAAAACTTTCGAAGGCAGCAGGAGGTGGTGGAACACCCAAAGAAAAGGCTCGGTGTTGATGTCAAGCGCCGCTGATTGCTGCCACTATCTTTCTTAGAGTCTGTTCGGCGTTCTTGCACTCTTGGATGATTTGTGGAGCGTGTTTTGCTCAAGGTCCGCAAAGGCACTGGTTATGTGGCTCTGTCGGACTTGCCAGATGATGAAGAGGAGAACGCCAACTCTGGAACAGTGTGTGGTTCAATATCTAATGATTTAACTACATGAATTATATTGACAGTTTACATGTACATAGTTACACAGAAGTTACACAAGTGTCACCCATTCTCATTGATTTAGTGCAGGTTTGTGCAAATAAGGAAGGGCAGCTTAATGTACCTCTATGAAAGCTGGTGATAGCTATTGGTAACTTGGAAAACGGTGTTTGTAAGTCGACGTTGTGTTCTCCATAGCTTTTTTTTCCTTGGGTCGCACTTTCCACTCGCTGGTCATTTGAAGGAGGAAACAAACAGAGGAGTGTCATTTGAAGTTGGTTCGCAGGCCAACCCAAACCCACGTTTGTGAAAACATGTCCATTGAGTATTCCTTCTTTGGTGTTGTCAGTTCAATTCTTATAATTCTGCGAAGCGATTTCTGCCTTTGGGACGTGCTTTGTGATGCTTTCTGTGCTAGGCCTCAAATGGACAAGGCCAAACCAGAAAGTCAGCCCCTTTCTTAGTGATTCTCATGCAGTCCCCAGTGGCAGCCCAGTGTAGTTTGTGATTTTCTTTTATGCTCATCAACGCTCCAGGTCAGAAAAGGAACAGGTTTCCTACACCCCTCAGACTTGCCTGATAGTGATGATGAAGAAGAGGAGCCGAAGCCATAACATCCTATGATATGCTATGATACTTTTCAAAAATCGTCAAAACATGTTCGTGCAAATGGATGCCAAAGACTTGCAAAACCCATGTTGGCTTATCCAGGGTACAATATGCTGGTATGGTACCAGCTGTTTGCGGTGTATCAGGAGGAGAGAGAAGTGAGATTTACCACACCCCAGGCACAGTGTCTTGATTTAGCATGCACTTTTTGAGTGACACATTGTGTTGATGTGCCACACAAATGCCACCGAGACCCATCCGGGTATTGTCAGAACTCATGTCAGTTGAGTCGTTGTATGTCGCTGTGATTCTTTCGGAGATGTTCCAAAACTTTCGAAGGCAGCAGGAGGTGGTGGAACACCCAAAGAAAAGGCTCGGTGTTGATGTCAAGCGCCGCTGATTGCTGCCACTATCTTTCTTAGAGTCTGTTCGGCGTTCTTGCACTCTTGGATGATTTGTGGAGCGTGTTTTGCTCAAGGTCCGCAAAGGCACTGGTTATGTGGCTCTGTCGGACTTGCCAGATGATGAAGAGGAGAACGCAAACTCTGGAACAGTGTGTGGTTCAATATCTAATGATTTAACTACATGAATTATATTGACAGTTTACATGTACATAGTTACACAGAAGTTACACAAGTGTCACCCATTCTCATTGATTTAGTGCAGGTTTGTGCAAATGAGGAAGGGCAGCTTAATGTACCTCTATGAAAGCTGGTGATAGCTAGTGGTAACTTGGAAAACGGTGTTTGTAAGTCGACGTTGTGTTCTCCATAGCTTTTTTTTCCTTGGGTCGCACTTTCCACTCGCTGGTCATTTGAAGGAGGAAACAAACAGAGGAGTGTCATTTGAAGTTGGTTCGCAGGCCAACCCAAACCCACGTTTGTGAAAACATGTCCATTGAGTATTCCTTCTTTGGTGTGTCAGTTCAATTCTTATAATTCTGCGAAGCGATTTCTGCCTTTGGGACGTGCTTTGTGATGCTTTCTGTGCTAGGCCTCAAATGGACAAGGCCAAACCAGAAAGTCAGCCCCTTTCTTAGTGATTCTCATGCAGTCCCCAGTGGCAGCCCAGTGTAGTTTGTGATTATCTTTTATGCTCATCAACGCTCCAGGTCAGAAAGGGAACAGGTTTCCTACACCCCTCAGACTTGCCTGATAGTGATGATGAAGAAGAGGAGCCGAAGCCACAACATCCTATGATATGCTATGATATGCTATGATACTTTTCAAAAATCTTCAAAACATGTTTGTGCAAATAGATGCCAAAGAATTTCCAATCCCATGTTGGCTTATCCAGGGTACAATATGCTGGTACTGGTACCAGCTGTTTCCAGTGTATCAGGAGGAGAGAGAAGTGAGATTTACCACACCCCAGGCACAGTGTCCTGATTTAGCATGCACTTTTTGAGTGACACATTGTGTTGATGTGCCACACAAATGCCACCGAGACACATCCGGGTATTGTCCGAACTCATGTCAGTTGAGTCGTTGTATGTCGTTGTGATTCTTTCGGAGATGTTCCAAAACTTTCGAAGGCAGCAGGAGGTGGTGGAACGCCCAAAGAAAAGGCTCGGTGTTGATGTCAAGCGCCGCTGATTGCTGCCACTATCTTCGAGTCTGTTCAGCGTTCTTGCACTCTTGGGTGATTTGTGGAGCGTGTTTTGCTCAAGGTCCGCAAAGGCACTGGTTATGTGGCTCTGTCGGACTTGCCAGATGATGAAGAGGAGAACGCAAACTCTGGAACAGTGTGTGGTTCAATATCTAATGATTTAACTACATGAATTATATTGACAGTTTACATGTACATAGTTACACAGAAGTTACACAAGTGTCACCCATTCTCATTGATTTAGTGCAGGTTTGTGCAAATGAGGAAGGGCAGCTTAATGTACCTCTATGAAAGCTGGTGATAGCTAGTGGTAACTTGGAAAACGGTGTTTGTAAGTCGACGTTGTGTTCTCCATAGCTTTTTTTTCCTTGGGTCGCACTTTCCACTCGCTGGTCATTTGAAGGAGGAAACAAACAGAGGAGTGTCATTTGAAGTTGGTTCGCAGGCCAACCCAAACCCACCTTTGTGAAAACATGTCCATTGAGTATTCCTTCTTTGGTGTTGTCAGTTCAATTCTTATAATTCTGCGAAGCGATTTCTGCCTTTGGGACGTGCTTTGTGATGCTTTCTGTGCTAGGCCTCAAATGGACAAGGCCAAACCAGAAAGTCAGCCCCTTTCTTAGTGATTCTCATGCAGTCCCCAGTGGCAGCCCAGTGTAGTTTGTGATTATCTTTTATGCTCATCAACGCTCCAGGTCAAAAAGGGAACAGGTTTCCTACACCCCTCAGACTTGCCTGATAGTGATGATGAAGAAGAGGAGCCGAAGCCATAACATCCTATGATATGCTATGATATGCTATGATACTTTTCAAAAATCTTCAAAACATGTTTGTGCAAATAGATGCCAAAGAATTTCCAATCCCATGTTGGCTTATCCAGGGTACAATATGCTGGTACTGGTACCAGCTGTTTCCAGTGTATCAGGAGGAGAGAGAAGTGAGATTTACCACACCCCAGGCACAGTGTCCTGATTTAGCATGCACTTTTTGAGTGACACATTGTGTTGATGTGCCACACAAATGCCACCGAGACACATCCGGGTATTGTCCGAACTCATGTCAGTTGAGTCGTTGTATGTCGTTGTGATTCTTTCGGAGATGTTCCAAAACTTTCGAAGGCAGCAGGAGGTGGTGGAACGCCCAAAGAAAAGGCTCGGTGTTGATGTCAAGCGCCGCTGATTGCTGCCACTATCTTTCTTCGAGTCTGTTCGGCGTTCTTGCACTCTTGGATGATTTGTGGAGCGTGTTTTGCTCAAGGTCCGCAAAGGCACTGGTTATGTGGCTCTGTCGGACTTGCCAGATGATGAAGAGGAGAACGCAAACTCTGGAACAGTGTGTGGTTCAATATCTAATGATTTAACTACATGAATTATGTTGACAGTTTACATGCACATAGTTGCACAGAAGTTACACAAGTGTCACCCATTCTCATTGATTTAGTGCAGGTTTGTGCAAATGAGGAAGGGCAGCTTAATGTACCTCTATGAAAGCTGGTGATAGCTAGTGGTAACTTGGAAAACGGTGTTTGTAAGTCGACGTTGTGTTCTCCATAGCTTTTTTTCCTTGGGTCGCACTTTCCACTCGCTGGTCATTTGAAGGAGGAAACAAACAGAGGAGTGTCATTTGAAGTTGGTTCGCAGGCCAACCCAAACCCACGTTTGTGAAAACATGTCCATTGAGTATTCCTTCTTTGGTGTTGTCAGTTCAATTCTTATAATTCTGCGAAGCGATTTCTGCCTTTGGGACGTGCTTTGTGATGCTTTCTGTGCTAGGCCTCAAATGGACAAGGCCAAACCAGAAAGTCAGCCCCTTTCTTAGTGATTCTCATGCAGTCCCCAGTGGCAGCCCAGTGTAGTTTGTGATTTTCTTTTATGCTCATCAACGCTCCAGGTCAGAAAGGGAACAGGTTTCCTACACCCCTCAGACTTGCCTGATGATGATGAGGAGGAAGAGGAGCCGAAGCCATAAGATGCTATGATATGCTATGATACTTTTCAAAAATCTTCAAAACATGTTTGTGCAAATAGATGCCAAAGAATTTCCAATCCCATGTTGGCTTATCCAGGGTACAATATGCTGGTACTGGTACCAGCTGTTTCCAGTGTATCAGGAGGAGAGAGAAGTGAGATTTACCACACCCCAGGCACAGTGTCCTGATTTAGCATGCACTTTTTGAGTGACACATTGTGTTGATGTGCCACACAAATGCCACCGAGACCCATCCGGGTATTGTCCGAACTCATGTCAGTTGAGTCGTTGTATGTCATTGTGATTCTTTCGGAGATTTTCCAAAACTTTCGAAGGCAGCAGGAGGTGGTGGAACGCCCAAAGAAAAGGCTCGGTGTTGATGTCAAGCGCCGCTGATTGCTGCCACTATCTTCGAGTCTGTTCGGCGTTCTTGCACTCTGGATGATTTGTGGAGCGTGTTTTGCTCAAGGTCCGCAAAGGCACTGGTTATGTGGCTCTGTCGGACTTGCCAGATGATGAAGAGGAGATGCAAACTCTGGAACAATGTGCCATTCAATATTTGCAGTGTGTTTGCAATCATTACTCCAAGGAGGGCTTTGTATTTTAGGATTTTTTTGATAAGATTTATTGATAATTATATATACATAGTTGTTTTTATTCCTGCTTTTCTGCTGTTCCTGCTTCTTTGCTTTTCTGCTTTTCCGCTTTTCCTACGTCTCTTCTTTTTTTTTGCTTGTTTGCCTTGTTTGCTTTTCCTGCTTTTCTGTTTGTTTGCTTTTCCTGCTTCTTTGCTGTTCTGCTTCTCTCTTTTCTTCTTCTTTGCTTTTCCGTTTTTTGCTTTTCATGCATCTCTGCTTTTCTGCTCTTTTGCTTCTGTGCCTTTCTACTTTTTCTTTTTCTGCAGTCATGCATTCTTGCTGCTCTGCTTCTTCCTGCTCCGTTGCTTCTTTGCTTCCTTTCTTTACTGTCTCTTTGCTTTTCCGTTTCTTTTGCTTTATTCTCTCCTGTTTGTATCCTTAATGAAACCGTAGAGAAACCCTAGAGAAACCCCAGATGAAACCCAAAGACACCCTAATACGAACCCCACATGAAAACCCAAATGAAACCCCTAAATGAAACCCTAAATGAAACCCGAAAGATACATGACACCATAAAGAAACCTTAAATGAAAACCTAGAGAAACCCTAAAGATACCCTAAATGACACCCTAAAGAAAACCTAAATGAAACCCTGAAGAAACCCTAAATGAAACCCTAAATAAAGAAACCCTTAATGAAACCCTTAAGAAACCCTAAATGAAATCTTAAATGAAACCCTGAAGAAACCCTAAAGATACCCAAAATGACACCCTAAAGAAGCCCGCTAAACTTTTGAAGTACCAACATGTATCAAATCCCTTTCAAAATGAGAGGTCATGAACGTTTGAAGTACCAGCATGTCGCAAATACCATACAAAATGAGAGGTTGAGGTGCCAAAAGTATAGCAAATACCGTGCAAATTGGAAGGTGAACACGCCACAATGTAGCAAATACCATTCAAAATCACAGGTTCTAGTTCCAAACTGTTGCAAATACAAGGCAAATGGTACCAGAAAAGAATTTTTAAAAAACAACCTTTTCAAAAGAAAGTTCTAAAACTATTCTTCACCCTTACTGTAATATTGCAAGGATTCTTGTCTCAACATGTTCCATCCGTTTGTTAAAATTCATACAGTTGAAAACACGGTAAAAATGCATCATAATTACATGGCAATCAATCTTTGCATAGGCAGGATATGCTATATATATATATATATTTAGGTTCAAGGCTGGAGTTCCCCGGAGCTTCCAGGAACCCTCAGTCTTGTCATGTACTATAAACGTCGTTATGGTATAGAGATGGGGGGTTGGGGGGGTGGGGGCGGTGTAATAACTTCATGTGGACTACGTTGGATTGAGACTTGTTGAAACCTTGAGGATGTTGCTTCGTTGAAGATGTTGTTACGTTGCAAGTATCGTTGTTGTTTACAGAAAAGGGGGGGTGGGGAGGGTGTAATAACGTCATGTGGACTGCGTTGGATTGAGACTTGTTGAAACCTTGAGGATGTTGCTTCGTTGAAGATGTGGGGGTGGGGAGGGTGTAATAACATCATGTGGGGCGCGTTGGATTGAGAGTTGTTGAAACCTGGAGGGTGTAGCTTCGTTGAAGCTGTTGTTACTGCGACTGCACCGTGAGAAGACCAATGGTGCTCTCGCTCACAGCAACTGCTTCAAAAAGCCTTTGTGGACGTGAAAATGAAAAAGGTGTGATGTTCATTTCGTCCATGGTTCTCCAGTGAATTATGACATTTTCTAGTTGTCAACAAAACGACCAAAAATGCATGAAACCGCAATTCCAATGGTTTCGATGTTGCACACATGTTTGGGCATCCATGGAAGATGTAAATTTGTCATTTTTCTGCGCGGACAAACGTCAAGTTTATCTGCGCCGATATTGCAACTTGTACTGATCGAACAATTTGAGAGAAGAGCACAAAACACTGTAAAACACAGTGTAAAATCAACATGTTCCATATCCATACAAATAAAATGCAATTGGCTTCGGGGGAACCCCCAGCCTTCACCCTATTTATATATATATAACAGTTTATATATATATATATATGTAGTCTATATATATATATGTGTAGTGTATATATATTTGTATGTGTAGTGTATATATATTTTTTATATATGTAGTATATATATATATAGTAGATATATATGTTGTATATATATATATACATATGTACCTGATAGATCCTAAGTTTGACCCACAATTTGTGTCGCAGAATGCCACAGATCTTCTAGCAAAAAAACACAGGACTTGCCTTCAAGATCGGTCTCAATTCAGGCCCAAAATCCTGGGGTTGGTCATGATTTTCTGATTAAATGGCCAGTTGGCCATATTTTCCATTGGTTTTTAGACACACCCAAGTGGTTGCTGGTTTCAAATGATACTAGCCACAAGGGATATATATATATATATATGATTTTCAATCCTGGGGATGGCAAGATGAGCCCAATAGGCCGAGATATAGTAATCCTCAGAGGCCGAAAAGTGCGCAGCCAGGATGGTATACAATAGATGTCTAATTTGAATTTCCATGTCCCTAACTTTTCTATGGTCATCGTTCATAGATTTTATTTTGTATTTATAATAGTACATTATTTCATCATCTTTCTATTACAATACTCTATTTTGAAGTTGCTCTAATTCATTGTTCATAAAAAGGATCAACCAAGCTTGATGGGTCGGATTCTGTGTCAGGCAGAGGGAGAACAAGGCCAGCCCAAACCAAAAGTTCGCAGCCCAAGTTTCGAGCTGCGACCGTAAAGTGGTTAGATTCTTTGGAGAGTTTGGGAAATTCCCTGCACCCTCTGGTTGGATAACATAGCTATGGAAAATCACCATTTTTTATAGGTACATCTTAACCATTCATCTATAACTGGGCCATTTTCCATAGCTATGTTAAATAAAAAGGAGCAACACTTCTCCTCGCTCGCGCTCCCCATGCCGTCGGCTGGGGTCGGCGAAAATCTAGAGTAGCATCCAACAAAAATATAGAAACGTAATTAACATGTCACTAAAATAGTGAGGAGATACTTTTGTATCTTTCTTGTGGGGGCTGCTATCGATGAATGTTACATCCTATTAGCCCTAAAATTGGGATGATGATTTGAGTTGAGCTATTAATACCCTGGTTGATTGGATATTATAGGGGATTATACTACCTGGTTAAATGAGACTAGGGAAACCTATTGGCCAACCAGTTTTTATTGAGATGGGATAGGGGAGTGTTTAATCGCTCAATGTAGGTTAAACACCAACCAGCTATCATTGATAGCCGGTTGGCTCAGTCTCCCCATATCTCCATTTGTTTGTTAGCTATGCCCGAAGATACCCCTTATTCTCACCATTTGGTAGTTTTGTGTCACTCAACTGCCAAGCAGCATGAAATTTGATGAAATCCCATGTTTAAGTTGATGTATATGTCCTAGCTTTCCAAATGACACCCCCATTTTCCCCAGCATTTTTTGGGTGACTCAAACGCCGATATCCATTTGGATCCATTGTTTTCTTGTGCATTAATGATTATGCATGATTTTGGAGTGCTGCATCATCTGTGACAAAGTCTATACGCATTATGGACTCTTATATCATATCCATATATATATATCCATTAGACATATATATATAATATACATCATATATCATTATATATGGAGGTTCAACGTCGTTTGTTCTTCCTGGTACCCCCCGTAGCGCGTCTTTGTGCCCTGGCGTCATTGAGGTGCGCCAAGACACTGGCAGCGTCTCAATGTCCGAGCTGGGAGAACTTGAGGACTCGAATTCGCGGATAAAGGGCAACCCACATGTATATGTAGAGTATACATATACTATATGAATATATATATATATATTTATTTATTTACTTTTATACGCATCATCCCCCAACCAGGAATTCGGAATATTTATTTATAGATATTCATAGTTAATTTGTCTTAATTTCATGATGATTAAAAGAGCTACTTAGTAGTGCATGTGTAACCCCAACTGCACGGCCAGGAAATCCTTCCATTGATCTGGATATAATTGGGGATATAAGTGGGGATATGCTGATGATTTTCATTTCCCCATTTGTTTGATCTACCATTTGGGGAAGCTACCCCCTAAAAAAGCCAACCGAAGTTATTAATTAATAGAAACCCCAAAATGAAAGAGAAGCATATTGGGACTTCCTTAAATGGGGACTCCGCGGTTCCAAGTTCCAAGAAGCGTAAATGGTTTAGTTCTATCTTTTGGGATGGTGACTGACTACCATATCACTGCAAAATTTTGGCAACATCCAAAGCAATTTTTCTAGATTGATTGATTGATTGGTATGATATGGTTTAGTCAGGATACATATATGTATATACATTGAATCTGATATGGGTATGGTAGTAATTTTCGGGAGCTAGCCCAATGACTTGACTGAAACCATGATACACATATATGTATATGTGGGTGTGGACAGGTTCATTGGTTGTATAAAACCACTGAGTTTATGAAGAAATACTGGATATGTTTTTTCATGGGATACAATAAGATATAGCCACGAACAGTACGATAAATATATATGTATACTGTATATATTATTCAATGCGTTTATGAGTCGCTACAATTGGTGATGCGATGAAAAACGTGGGGTATTCAGCATGATTTACCAAACCGATATCGGGAATCATGGGTATAGAACAAATGTTGCTGGTGTCTGCAAACTTGGGAATGCCCCGATTCGTATCATGGCAATGACAATGGAGAACAGGATTTGATTAAGTGGATGTCGGGGTACCCCATTGTCCATTGGTGATGTGGGATGTGCTCATTCTACGCAAAATACATTGCATGTCAACGATATATATATATATTATAGCAATAATGATAATAATAATAACAAGTAATAACAATACTAGTCATAATAGTAATGACGAAATTAGACCTGTGCAATTTTGTGCACAAGGTTGTTTCCATTTCAGCTATGAGATGTAGGGTTTGGGGGGTTGTGGGGCGCAGATATTTTGGACTGGGAAATTGCCACAAGCCTGGAGTTTTTGATCACAATCAGAAACTTTTGAAGACGTCCTTGCATAGAGAAAGATTTACAGTTGGCACTTTTGTCTGCTTACCCTCTGGTAAACTAACATAACTATGGAAAATCACCATTTTTAATGGGTAAATCAACTATAAATGACCATTTTCAATAGCTATGTTTGTTTACCAGAAGGTAAATGTTGCTGCAAATCTCACCAATTTGCACCCTGCTTTTCTTGGCGGCCCGTCGGGCATCACTCAGGAGGGTTCTGTGAGCTTCAACTTGACATCGAAGGCGGGCACAAGGTTTTGCCTGGAAAACCGTTGGTTTTTTTGCAATACCCTGAGATCATCAAACGTGGCAAGCTGGAAAGTCCCCTGTAAATGAAGGTTTCAATGGGAACATCATCTATGAACGTAGGAGTTTCCATTGCCATGTTTGATTACCGGAGAGTGCATCTGGGTACATACTACTAAGCAATGTTTTTATGCACGGTCTCTCAGGTTAGTCATGCGTTTACTTGATCGCAGGCTGGACAAAGCAGTGGAGAACCAAAAGAAAAGGCGGATAACAGTCACATGGTTTGCTGGAACATCCCCCCAAAATTGCTGTACTGGTTGGTGGTTTCAAACATTTTTGTTATTTTCCATAATATATGGGATAACCCTTCCCATTGACCAATATTTTTCAAGATGGTTAAAACCACCAACCAGTGTACTTCGATGATCTGTTTTTGATTGTTGTTGTATGTTTTTTCTCTTATAAGATATTGAATATTGAACATAAATTTCACTACTCTTCATATCATTTTATATCGCCGTACTTCGAAGATACTTCGAAGATATAATTGAGTTGATGTATGGGATGTTCAACTATATCTCGCTGAAACATGTCCAGGGCTTTTCGGAAATCGACGCCTCCAAAAAAGGGGGATGCTCTCTAAACCTTCGTAAAATCCCTTAAGTGTGGTTATCCCATAATATATATCATTATATGTCCATTATTATTATATATATACAGTATATATAAATATACCTGGGTTGTAAACATGGCTCACCAGGCTATCGATTGGGATGATCCTCTAGCCCAGACACCCCATTTTTGGGTTAGAGGATCTCGTAAAGGTTGCTGCGGGATCATCCTGCTGTGGAGGATCATCCTGCCGCGTCGGTGAAAATCGCCCTGGTTCACAAGTCCCTCATTTGTGTAGCTTCGTTTATAACATTTTATAACTGTGGTACCATGCGTTAGCCCCACAAGCTCTAAGCAGTTTCTACTGTACGGGTTAGTAACCATTACTTCTGTATATCCCACTATCCATCAGAGAGCATCCACTGGCCCGTCTTACCGACTGCAGTTCCATGTATTGGATATACAAGGCTTACATTAGTTAATTATACCATATTGTACCGTTATATATATATATATGGGACATCCAGGTATGGGTCATTTGTCGCTACTCACTGGGATGCCATGCCCCGCAACAGGTTCGCAAAGGCACGGGCTTTGTCAGTCTGTCGGACTTGCCACCTTCTGACGATGAGGAGCCCGACGGATATCTCCCCTAAATCATGGATGGGTACCACGCATCATTGCGTCATTGGGACAAGCATAAACAACAACATGGTTATTTCTCAAAATGGGGCTCCAAAATACCTGAAGGGGCTTAATGTTCAAATATGTTCAATATTTTCTTGCACCCCCGTTTTTGAGGCCCAGCTGGGATGATTTGAAGCTATATCCCAATATTGCCAAGAGTTCCCATATGAGTAACCGACAAAATGAGCGGACTAAAGTAGTGGGGGGTGGACATGGGATGTTTAAATTTCTGCGAAAACCTTCACAACCGATACACTATTTTTGTACATAGCATGGAAGTACAAACCTTCACAACCGATAGGGGACCCACTTTGGCCATGTCCATTCCGGGTAGAGGGACGTCGTTGAACATGTTCAAACGACCAGACAAGATGCCACCTGGAGGATGTGGCCCCAAGTGTGTCCTTCCAGGCAAAACTGGGGGTGGAGGTCTGGGAACGCAACATATTAATGTGTGTTTCAAGATAAATATGATGTGTAGAGATCATATGTGCATATGTCTTTATAATTTTATACACCTACAATATGTATTATATATATATGTGTATATATTCATACGTGGTTCATATGTATATGCAGACATGATATGCGAATCTACATATCGGGATATATACATACTACACATGTATATTCAAGATAACCAGAGTCCATTTAATTTAACCGCCCACATCGACTTTAGTACTTACAGAACTCCAGGTTCACCTTTTGATATATGCATACCTGGATCCTCTTGATCGTGAAAGTTTCGGCACCAAAGCCAAAAGCTATCAATTTTGCCAAATTCAAGAGAAAAAGAACTCATGAACGGTTATTTCCACTCCAGAACGCTATTTTTTGCGTCAGAACGCTTCCGAGCGGTTTTGAAAGTTTTTTTTACGTTTTTTTTACGCTTTTGGAACGCAATTTTGCCACTCCAGAACGTCCAAAGTGTCCCGAACGGCAAAAACCACTCCGGTGTTCTTTTTTCCACACCCATCCCCACAATTGATCTTTTTTTGGTTTGGAGTTAAAAATTCCAGTATTGGGAAGCTCCAGGTACTTTAGTTGTTTGATGTGAAGTCATGTTAAAAGGGTGCTAGAAAACCTCAACCACCACCTTGGATTCCGACTCATTCATGCAACACAATTGCCAAAAACAAGTTTTGGTTACAGTATGTTGCAGTTTGTTCTTTGGTGGTTCATACTAACAGAGTGATCAACTTACATTGTGTTGCGAGGTCAATGAAGGTGGTGGGCGGCCAAAAGCCAAAGCAGCAGTTGGAATCACAGCAGTTGTTCAAATCACAGCATGTGCAGCTCACGTTCTGTTCAAATCTTCAAAACTGGCAGTATGTTTACTAAATAAACATATATAATTAATGCTGGAGATGGTTATAAATATTTATAAATGTATACTTTGCGATCATGTGATGGATGTTTTCTTTGCTTTTCCTCCAAGGTTCGTAAGGGCACTGGCTTTGTGGATGCTTCCGAAATACTTGACGAAGAGGAAGATGAGGACGAGCTGTGACTCCTTGCTGTGCTGAACTGGGGTGATGATCCCAGTTGACATGTTTTTGGATAGGTTGAAACAGGTTGAAACATGTTGAAACCAGAAAACCGGTTTTTGAAAACCAGTTGTTCAGTTGTTCAACATCATTTCTTAAGCTTCTCTAAAGTGTTGCACATTCCAATAGGCTTGAACACATGCCAAAACATATTTACCGTTTTTGGCAGATTCTGGTTCTTTGGTTCTTTGTTGCTGAAAAACTGGGGTGATGATCCCAGTTGACTTTCATGTTTTGGGATATGTTGAAACCCGAAAACGGGTTTTTGAAAACCAGTTTTTCAGTTCTTCAACATCATTTTCATCATCTCTTCAGCTTCTCTAAAGTGTTGCACATTCCAGATGTGAACAGGCTAGGGTGCATAGGTATGGATACAGCTGCTTTTGTTTTTTAAATCCAAATTGCCCAACGTGACTGTCGCTGACTAGTCCTGCAGGATAATCGTGTGAAATTTGAGGCAGGAACTGACGCCAGCCGCTTAGCCCTTCCACTCGCAGCAGCTGGTAAGTTGTACATACTATTCACATATACATATGTATATATACTGTATATATATATACAGAAAGTATTTATAGAATCTTATAGATACATAACATATATATATACATATACACATGACTTATGTCATGGACACTATGTATATACAAACTGTGTACATGCACTATATTATATGCCCCTGATCCCAGTTTTTGAACTGAGACCGGAGAAGCGAAAGTGCAAAAGGTGAAGAAGGCCCAGTGGAAATACAGGGATACCCCAGCAGTATGCTGGTGGTTGAAATGATGTTTGGTGTTTGTTCTCAAAACATGGGGGTTATGATGGATTATGGTCACACAGCAACTTTCACAGTTTTTGGGGTGCTGAAACACCACCTATATCATTGGAGCTGGTGCAGTGTTTGGGCATTTGTTTGGCCACGGATGTCCTTTTCCCACTGGTCATTTGTTTTTTGCGGGTAGCAACCCAATTGAGCAATCAATAGGTCAATGATGGTAAATGATACGTAGTGAATGATCGTGAACAATGGCAAATGATGGCAAATGATGGTAAATGATGGTAAATGATGGTAAATGGTTGTAAATTATTGTATATGTTTGTAGATTATGACTGTAAATTGCGGGAAATGATGGTGAATGATGGCAAATGATGGTGAATGATGGCAAATGATGGTGAATGATGGTAAATGATGGTAAATGATGGTAAATGGTTGTAAATTATTGTATATGTTTGTAGATTATGACTGTAAATCGCGGTAAATGATGGTGAATGATGGCAAATGATGGTGAATGATGGCAAATGATTGTGAATGACAGTAAATGCTGGCAAACGATGGAGGATGGTAAATGCTGGCAAATGATTGTAAATGGAACCAAAGCGGTTTCCCTAGTTTTACTATAACATCATTCATTGACAACTGATAGCCCTTTTCACCTTGCAAGACTGATTCCCTCACAAGAGTGACCGTCAGGCCCGTCGCGACACGGGTTTTGTCAGCCATTCCGACATCCCAGACGAGGAGTCCGTGAATGAACATAGCTTTCGCTACGTTGGGCAGTGGGCAAAGATCACTTTTTGTTTGGTTACGTCTGCAAATAGATTTTTCACCCTGGTGAATGTGTTGGTCACCGACATCTTGAGGGCATTTTGGGGGAACAGAGTACTGTCCGCCAGGAAGAAGCGGTCACCGCCGATGCGGTGCTGAAAGGCTCCAAACAGAAGGCCCCCCGGGGTCATCCGAAAAGACCGAAGATTTTGGTGGGTATCATGATGTTACTGTATATGAATATTTAATATCAATATCAGTAACTATTGAGATACTAGAATATACTAGAATATGTCCATAATATCATAATCTATTGGGTAATAGCTCCATAGGGATACCTATTTCGAGGTGACAATTTTAGTATTGAAACCTACCATTTACCAAACATATCAACAGTATACAGATTGGATAGGGATGGATAGGGCCGTTTTTTCATATATTTTTCATGGCTATTTTTCATTATTTAAGGGCAAAAAAACATGGATACAAAAACGATGACCAACCATGAAATGAGAGTCGTTCCCCAACGATTTTTCAGATCCAAGTCGAGACTGGCTTTAATATTGTAATCATCGCTAGATGGGGATGGCTCAAAACCTTTTTGACGATATTTGGGGGAATAAAGTTAGCTCCAGTAGCCAGCTATTTTAGGGTACCATTTGGGTACCCTTTTGACTCATAGCCGTCATAGCCACAATTGATGGATACAACGGACTGTCCATGGCCATTGAGGCGAAAGGTGCTGTCTTCGTGGATCCCAACGACCTGCCAGATGATGCGGAGGCTTGGCGTTTTTTGGGTTAGCACCAATCAATTTTTCACCACCAAAAAGCGATGTAACCATTGGGGATCAATTGGGGTAATCATTGTGATTTGTTACATCGCTTTTTTTTGGGGGGGGTAATCATGTTGGGTTACATGCTTGTTCCTTTGAGAGGTTTGCATCTATCATCAATGCAGATCCATGTCTTGAGTTTCCTGTGGAAGCCGTGGCATGTTTTTCATCCTAGCCACTGTTTCCGGACATTTGCTGGGTAGAGCGACTGCTTGGGGAGCTTAGCGGTTTATTTTTTCTTACAAACAAGGGCGCTTAATATATATATATATATAACTTTGTTTGCAATGTATCTATGTGTATCTAAGATTAAAGCCGTGGGTTTACGCAACAACTTGATGTAATTCTTGCACCTTTGAACTGATTTGTCGGTGGTGTGCAGTTCTGCCTCGCCTGAACCTTGTGTACTGCTCCCACGTCTTCGGTACGTTCGCACAGTGACGAGTGTGGCCAAGTTGTCTTATGAGTTCTTATGCATCTACCTTGTTTTTCAGATTTTAAAGATACGTTACACCCCACCTTGCCTTGCCAAGACATGAACGTTGAAGAACGCCTCAGTGACCGCCCTATCAACCTTTAAATACCAGGCAACCATGCAACCAGGCAACCTGCACGGTATTTCCCAGCATCAAGCCTGACAGGACGGCGTGAGATTCAATCTGCCTGCCGAAGTGTGGAGCCCTGATGTGGTGTTGCAGTGGTCGACTATCAAAGCAGTTGTAGTGACATTCCGTGAATATGAACGTAGATTTAGTACCTTTTTCATCTATAGAATCTATAGAACATATTAAACAGATATATATATATATATATGCACATATATGATCAATCTTACATATATATATATATATATACAGTATATATATATATATTATTTTCTAAAGTTTATCAAATTTTGTAATATGTACATATTCTATAATCATCATCCTATACATGATATCACGGATCCGCCAGGCTAAGACGGCTAAGACCAAGCCAGTTGGGCCCAAGGTCAAGGCTGGGAAAGACGTCCCAAATTCCCATTGGTTGGTTGATGAAAATAGAGGGCTTTAACAACAGGTTTACCCCTGAAAAACAACCGGTTTGTTTGATAGATGGGATGAACCAGCTATAACCAGCTCCCGGCCGCTCTATTTTTACCAAAAGGACATCTGGTTGGTTTTCCTAGCAAAAACCCATGGGTTTTGACCAGCATTGACGTGCGGGGGTTCAATGGATTGGTGTGGGAAAATCACCCGCAAAAATATGCCACAGACATCTCCCAGAAGCATCGGATCGGTAGCAGAAAATCATGGAGACCTTCCACAACTCAGATTTTTTTGACGTATTACTTGAATTTGCTGAAGATGATGTTTTTTTTTCCATGGGAAATCCACTACTTGGGGAATCTATAGGGAATACTGCTTATTTTTTGGTGGTTCCTTAAAAAAATCCATGTTTATCATGTTTGGTATATGTTTGGTGTTTCTCGGCCGAGTTTGGGAGACATAGTTTTGAACAAGCCTCACATGAGCAGTGTCATAAATAGATCATGTTTGCTGAAAATTTGGAGTTTGACCATTCTCTTGTGCCTTCTGAAGGGTGTGATCAAGCGTCCCGGAACAAAATCACCAAACGTTGGGGAAAGCATGTCCAATCACCAGCGAAAGCGGTGTTTTTTACATCTTCTCCAAAGGACGGTGCCGTTTCTATGGATTCCCAGGCACGTCGAGGAACCGGCTTCGTGCAGGAGTCAGAGCTCGAGGAGTGGCCCGCAGTGGCCATGGGTGTTTTTGGAGTCCTCTGAACGAGCATCTTGTGCAAAAAAAAAAGTGCTTCAGCATATGTAAGGATTTCAGATGATGTTGGCAAAACTTGAACAATCAAAATTAAAACATGAAATTTGAGAAACATTGATCGCATTGCAGCTTTGTTTGACATCCGTTTGGTTAGCCCCACAGATTGTATTTTCAAGGATTTTGGATGAAGTGCCAAATTTCTGCAATTTTGTTCACCACCTTGTCCTACAGAACTATTTTTTGGAGAGTCCGAGTATATAAAGTACTGGTTACACCCCTGATCTTAAGCCACAACCTGCAAAGATCATGATGGCTGTTCCCCGCCATTCCCATAGATGTTTGTTGTGAAAATCATGGTGAGACATAGATAACCACAGACCAGTAAAACTACCTTAGCTATGGACAACCACCGTGTTTCATTACGGTATTTGCCAATCAGCTATTTGACCATGGGCCATGAATGGCCATGGCTTCCGTAGCGCTGAGTTCACGCAGTTCCCTTCGAGGACGCTGACGCAGTGAGCTTCTTGCCCTCCAGCGGATCGCCACCTGGAAAGGTGGGGATGGGATGGTGGCCACGACTTGAGTCGTAACTGTCGTAACTTGAATTGAATTAATGTTGGGGCCCGGCAGTTGAAGAATCCAGGGACTTTGGATCTGCAGTTGTCATCGCAGTTCATTGGCTTCCAGTGGCTGTGGTAATCTGTGGTATCCAGCTGACCCTTGCCGGCGATTCTAGGCCAAGAAAGGCACTGGCTTTGTAAATCTTGCAGATTTACCTCCTTCCGACGATGAGGAGCATCGGTTGAAGATCGTGTTTTCGTAGCAACCAGGTATGATTCTCAATGTTTGATTGGTGAAGTTTGTTGTTCAAGCAATCACCATGCTCATTCCTGCTCTCACAGAATATAGATTGATAATGATTGATATATAGATTGTCTTGAGGTTTGAAAGCCACGTTGTGTGGCCTTTTGACTTTTCTTGCACCTGATACTTCACCTGATTTCAAAACGGAGGATGATGCCGCCGCCAGGGTGTCCTTCCAGGCCTTCCTTGCTTTTCGACCTTGACTACAGTTGAACTACTTGGAAGAAACCTATGATCTTTCATATTTTGGGGGATGAACACCCAGGAATCCCGGCTATTTTGGTGTGAAATTGAACGATGTTCCCACTTTGTGAGTTGATTCTTCCCGGTCTTTCAACTTTTCAAGCCTACCCACGCCTCATGACCGTCATTCAAAAGGACATTCATGGACGCTCATAACCAACCAGCTAGCTGTTGACAGTGAAGCTTCTTACCGGAGGTTGATGAAGGCAGCGTGAAACCAAAAGCGAAGAAAGCAGTGCGGCTCACAGAATGCAGCTGGAGCTGGAGCGCCCCATAGAGTTTAACAGTCTGAGTGTTATGTATGACCATGTATAATTAATTATAATATATTACAATGAATAAGCTATATTCGATGTTTGTTAATATCTATATTCTATATGTAGTCTAGATCTTTCCTGATGCTTAAGTTGTGCTTTTCCTCCAAGGTACGCAAGGGCACTGGCTTTGTCGATGCTTCCGAAATACTTGACGAAGAAGAGGAAGATGAGGACGAGCTGTGACTCCTTGCTGTGTGCTCAAAAACTGGGGTGATGATCCTAGTTGACTTTCATGTTTTGGGATAGTTTGAAACCAGAAAACCGGTTTTTGAAAACCAGTTGTTCAACATCATTTGTTCAGCTTCTCTAAAGTGTTGCACGTTCCAATAGGTTTGAACACATGCCAAAACATATTTACGGTTTTTGGCAGAGTCTGGTTCTCTGGTTCTATTCATCCTCCAACTTAAAGGTAAATATTCTTGCGTGTTCTTGCACTTCCGATGTGGATAAGATAGATATCTCCACGGCTTTGAAGGTGTTCAATCTTTGTGGCGCCTTCTGAGTCAACTCTGGCTGGTCTCACAGCGGAAATTCAGCGCCAGGAGCAACGTGTGAAATTTGCAGCAGGAACTGATGGAGAGGTAAAGGCCAAGGTGAAGAAGGCTCCCAGCCTGCCGGCGAATCCAATGACCCCTGGATACCCCAAATGTTGTTTGAAATATTTGAAATTACAGGCAAATGTTGTAGCATGTTTCCTACTTGATATACATTGATATACATTGATATACCTGGTAGTACTGGGTTGACTCATGTTGACTCGCCTTGGTGATTTGCAGCTCCATGGCCTGGAACATCCCATAGGTTCAAGGATTTTCCCACTTTCCCATATTAAACCTCCATTGTTCTGGGGGATTTCCCAGCATAGCAAGCCCCACGGCGCCCTTCGTCACCGTGTCCTCCAGGCGCGTCGAGGAACCGGCTTCGTGCAGGAGTCAGAGTTGCCGCCGGATGACAGCCAGGAATCAGCGGAGACGAGCGGCATCTGGGGGAAACCATGGGTGAGGGCCCAAGGGGTTTTAAGGATTTTACCAACAGAATGGAGCGTGCAAAATCTTGCAAACATTGAATGGAGACTTTTACTGATCAATAGGCGAAATTCTCGGTCTTTGGGTTAAACGTATAGTCCATGTCATCAGATCTATTTGTTCAGTCCGACCGACAAGTTGATTTCCCAAATGCTGTATCGGTAACCTGTCTGGGTGGATGTTTTCCTCAAGTTCACCAGTTCTCCATCTCCCTTTCTGCTCCTGTTGCTCTTGCTGCTGGTGCTGCCGTTGCTGCTGCCGCGGGGACTAATTCCTTATTCTGGTAAAGTGCTTGTGCTGGTTTTTGACCTTTCTTCCAATGCCAATTTTGTCACGCCTTATTCGGGTTGCAGGGCCTTCGCTTCCGGCAGGATTTTAAGTATATTTCAAGTATTCAGAATCCTTGCACAAGCTTTTTCAAACCTTTCTCCCCTGACTGTGCCGCCAGGAGGGTTCTGTCAGCTTTGACTTGCCAGCCCAGGCGCGTGGATGTCTTTTCCTGAAGTGACCGTGCCATGCTCCATGTGGCCCCAATTGGCCCCAGGCGAAGCAAACCAGCGAAATGCCAAAGGCAAAGGTGGGGATGCTGCACCATGCTCCAACAAGCTACGATATGATTGAACCAAGTCAAGGCCACCAGCCTCCAGCCTTCGCAGATGCGCATTGCGCCGCGCTAGGTCCGCAAAGGCACTGGCTTCGTAAATGTTGCGGACTTGCCTGTTTCCGACGACGAGGAGCACCATCAGAACATATACATACATATAGATCATATAGGACGTACGTCGTGGGATGTTTCGCCATTCTCGATGCTTAAATTCCAGTTTTCTTCAGCATTGTTGATGATTTTGATGCTTAGACCATGTCAAACCCTGAATTTGGCCCTTGATTTTGCCTTTATTGCAACAAAGGAGGAGGTTACCACTCGCCCGTCCTTGAAGGCCTGGCTCCGGCGGATCTGACGGTCACAGATATCTGTAAGACCCCCATCCCCCTACTAAAGGATGGCTTCTGGGTGTTTGCTATTCGGCGGAAGGGATTGTATATCCAAGATAGCCTTGAAAAATCAAACCACTCTAGTTTGAACTACTTTCACAGGTTGACTTGATTCTTCCGAATCCCTGCACTTCATGCTGAAACTAAAGTTGACCGTACACTCAGAATTCCAAGGCCTTCGAAAGAGAACACATTTCCCAGCTGCCGATGCTTTGGGTCTAGCATGGTATGCCGATAACCCCCAAATGTCTGCGAACTTAGGGTTTGTTGTATTGTTTGGCACAATGATGTCTCATGTCAGGAGAATAAGAAACTGCCATATTACCCATATGATCCATGTATGGTATATATGCTAACATTGGGGATATATTGATGGTAAATGTCACCATATATAGCATACATGGATCCTATGGGTTATAGACTGACACACATGTTTGTTGAGACCTCGTTCAGCAATGTTCGGCATGACATGAGGCGAAGAAAAGTGGCGCTGCCGTGGTGAGTCCCAATGACTTGCCACCAGATGAGGATGAAGATGCGGAGGCCGGAACGGAACTTATAAGCTTTTTTGGCAGTGTCTTGGGGTGTAACCATGTCAAACGCGCCATGAGGTGGGATATAACTTATAAACAACCCCTACAACTATGGTATACTATGGTTATATAGTTATATAGTTATATAGTTATATAGTATATATATATATTGTTTATATATAACCAATTGTTACTGAATGTGAGTGGAATTGCACCCCCAAGTGGTCTTGAAATCATGTTGTCACTGGAGTCGATCGACGCCTCCAGGCGCCTCGAGGAACCGGACTTGAGGCTTGGCCATCCGTTGACTCCTCCAGTTTTGGGGTCGAAAACCTTGGGTTCAGCAGTGGCTATGTACGTGCATGTGTGTATGTATTTATATATATATATATATATGTATGTAGTTAGAATGATGATTATTATTAACACTAGTTATTTTATAATGATGATAATAATTAAGGGGCTACGCCCCCTGCCGCCGACCCCAGGCAGGGTAGCGTGAATATACTCAAGACGGCACACAAGTATGCAACGCATGCACAGCCTTTGCCTTCGTTTGCCGTCTTGCTCATCGCACGAATCAACGCCTGGCCCGCTTGCGCCAACGCGAAACCCGCCACCGTCACGCAGCAATCCTAGAGGACGTTCGCAAGGAAATTCAGGAAATACACGAAGCAAGACAAACTTCCACGCGAGCAGAAGCTCCCAAAACGGACACTGCCCACTCATCGAACCAGCAGCTTGCTGTCGGGCCTGACACGGTTACGCCACAACTGTACACATACATCTGCCCACACTGCGCCAAATCTGTACAAAGCAAAGTGGCAACAGGACAAATCGATCACCGCCGAGGTGATGGTTGCGGCCACAAATTTCGCGTTGCAAATGGCTTGCTTGCAGGTCGCACGCATACGCACACGTGTCCGACATGCAGCGCGGTGGTGCATTCAACAAAAGCTTCCGGCCGAATTCAAGTAACTCATCGCACTCCCAACGGAAAGCAGTGTTCCACCAACCACTGGCACGTGCATAGTTGATGGAACCCTCCGGGCAGCGGCTCCCACTGCCTAACGTTGCTTTCTGAACCTGCAAGAAAACTAGCTCTCTTCCAGCTGTCAACGCTCACAAACGGCGCCCTCGCCACAGCAAAACAGCAGGGCCCTTCATGAAGGACGGACCGAGCCTCCGGGCAACGGCCCCCAGTGCCTAACGTTGCTTTCTGAACCTACAAGAAAACTATAGCTATAGCTCTCTTCCAGCCGTCAAGGCTCACAAACGACGCCCTCGCCACAGCAAAACAGCAGGGCCCTGAAGGACGGACCGAGCCTCCGGGCAACGGCTCCCACTGCCTAACGTTGCTTTCTGAACCTGCAAGAAAACTAGCTTTCTTCCAGCTGTCAAGGCTCACAAACGGCGCCCTCGCCACAGCAAAACAGCAGGGCCCTGAAGGACGGACCGAGCCTCCGGGCAACGGCTCCCACTGCCTAACGTTGCTTTCTGAACCTACAAGAAAACTAGCTCTCTTCCAGCCGTCAAGGCTCACAAACGGCGCCCTCGCCACAGCAAAACAGCAGGGCCCTGAAGGACGGACCGAGCCTCCGGGCAACGGCTCCCACTGCCTAAAACCTAGCTCTCTTCCAGCCGTCAAGGCTCACAAACGGCGCCTCCGCCACAGCAAAACAGCAGGGCCCTGAAGGACGGACCGAGCCTCCGGGCAACGGCTCCCACTGCCTAACGTTGCTTTCTGAACCTACAAGAAAACTAGCTCTCTTCCAGCCGTCAAGGCTCACAAACGGCGCCCTCGCCACAGCAAAACAGCAGGGCCCTGAAGGACGGACCGAGCCTCCGGGCAACGGCTCCCAAACTAGCTCTCTTCCAGCCGTCAAGGCTCACAAACGGCGCCTCCGCCACAGCAAAACAGCAGGGCCCTGAAGGACGGACCGAGCCTCCGGGCAACGGCTCCCACTGCCTAACGTTGCTTTCTGAACCTACAAGAAAACTAGCTCTCTTCCAGCCGTCAAGGCTCACAAACGGCGCCCTCGCCACAGCAAAACAGCAGGGCCCTGAAGGACGGACCGAGCCTCCGGGCAACGCTCCCACTGCCTAACGTTGCTCCTACAAACTAGCTCTCTTCCAGCCGTCAAGGCTCACAAACGGCGCCCTCGCACAGCAAAACAGCAGGGCCCTGAAGGACGGACCGCCTCCGGGCAACGGCTCCCAAACTAGCTCTCTTCCAGCCGTCAAGGCTCACAAACGGCGCCTCCGCCACGCCCAAACAGCAGGGCCCTGAAGGACGGACCGAGCCTCCGGGCAACGGCTCCCACTGCCTAACGTTGCTTTCTGAACCTACAAGAAAACAAGCTCTCTTCCAGCCGTCAAACCTTCAAAAACGCGCCGTCAAGGTTCACAAACGGCGCCCTCGCCACAGCAAAACAGCAGGGCCCTGAAGGACGGACCGAGCCTCCGGGCAACAGCTCCCACTGCCTAACGTTGCTTTCTGAACCTACAAGAAAACTAGCTCTCTTCCAGCCGTCAAGGCTCACAAACGGCGCCCTCGCCACAGCAAAACAGCAGGGCCCTGAAGGACGGACCGAGCCTCCGGGCAACGGCTCCCACTGCCTAACGTTGCTTTCTGAACCTACAAGAAAACTAGCTCTCTTCCAGCCGTCAAGGCTCACAAACGGCGCCCTCGCCACAGCAAAACAGCAGGGCCCTGAAGGACGGACCGAGCCTCCGGGCAACGGCTCCCAAACTTCCAGCCGTCAAGGTTCACAAACGACGCCCTCGCCACAGCAAAACAGCAGGGCCCTGAAGGACGGACCGAGCCTCCGGGCAACGGCTCCCACTGCCTAACGTTGCTTTCTGAACCTACAAGAAAACAAGCTCTCTTCCAGCCGTCAAACCTTCAAAAACGCGCCCTTTCCGGCCGTCACAAACATTCAAAAACGGCGCCTTCGCCAGTCTCAAAAAGGACGGTCCTGAAGGACGGGCCGGGCTTGCGGGCGACAGCCCCTAGTCAGTCCTCCTCTAACGCGCTCCCCCTGCTGGCGGCAGGGGTCGGCGGATAATACATATGTATATAATATATATCAATGACATGACGCTGTGCCACAATTTTGAAAAGAATCTCGCAAAAGGCAGCCGTTTTCAAGCCGGTCTCATGTTTTGCGCCCGCACCAGGAGGCGTCTGTGAGCTTCGACTTGCCTGTCCAGGCCAAGCAGAGCAGTGAACCCAAAGCAAAGGTGGGGAGCTGGCGTGTGGTGTTGGCTGATTAGGAAAAACATACCCCATACGCTCCATGTATGGTATATTTACCTACAAAACTGGGTGATTTTTAGGGCGAATGTTGATAAATATTCCAGCACCATGGAGCATACGGGTACCGGGAAAGCACGTGTTTCCGGTTTTAGGATGAATCAATTCAACGACAATCAGGGTTGAACCGGACACAGTTGTTTAGCCGCGCCAGGTCCGTAAAGGCACTGGCTTCGTCAATGCTGGAGACTTGCCTGTTTCCGACGAGGAGCACCATTAGAACATATAGGATGCATTTTAGATGTTTAGGATTCTTTAGGATCTTCAGGGTGTCTCAGAGAAGGTAGTAGCTACTTGTAAGATCTTGTAAGTAGTATTCACGAGCTTCGTTGACATGCCTCCTTCGTGAACGCAGCGCCATATACTTATATATTCTTATCCTGCATTAGTTTGAATGCCTTCAAAGAATGTCTAGAGCCTAGAGGTGTCAAAGACGCATTTCCAATACTGGGGCCATGTTAAACCCTGAATTTGGCCCTTGATCTTGCCCTCATTGCAACAAAGGAGGAGGAGGAGGTTACCAGAAGCGCATCCTTCCAGGCCTTTTATGGAACCGTGCTTGCGGGGCTGGGAAGAACCAGATATATCCAAGATGCCACGAATATCCAATCATCCAAACAGTGTGTAAATAATCATATATATATATATACATATACATATATATATATATATGAGTGAATATCCAGTCAAATCATTGGATAGATTTGGACTAGAATATGGATCGCTGTGGCTGTGGGAATTAGTCCAATCATCCCAATCTCTCCAAAGATGCATTGGACCTTGGATAAGGCTGTCGCAAGTTCTGCATGGAATACAGCACATATTTCTTTTGTGCCAGAAAACTCTAGGGCTGCTTCAAGATGCACCATGTTTAGCAGGGGTAACTAATCACAAAAAGACCTTATTTATCCTTATTTGTCCTTATTTCAGGTTGGTGAATTACTCTAATTTTTCCAGATGAGTCAACTACTGTCCATCGATCCCTGAGATTGGAGACGCCCAATGTCAGTGGCGCCATGATGCTTCAGTGTTGTATGTGAAAAATGTGGGGTCTGTTTAAATCATCCCAAGTAGGGGTATACTGATGTATACTATAGTATACCCAATAAATATCAATAAATCCCAAGAAGAAACCTCAAAGTGTCGATGATTGGGTTGACCTCACCTTATGACTTGAGATGACTTGGGATTTCAGAACCTTCGGTTGTTGAGCATCACGACTCGCAGAGGCCAGAAAGGGTGGAGCTGTTGTGGTGAATACAAATGATTTGCCACCAGATGACGACGAGGCGCTTGGACCTTTTGAATCCGCCCCGAAACCAGTGAGTGTTGTTTCTTCAGCTGTCGACTGTTTTTTTGTTTACATGTGTGTATTTACATATATAAATACAATTATGACAATTAGTTGACGTATGTTTATGTATGTTTATGCATATACTATGTGAATATGTATTTATTGTTGAGTTGTTCTTTTTGTGCGTGTCCTCTGAAACGGAGGAAACGGAGGAACGAGGCGTGAGATTCAACACGGCCGGGGAAGCCAAGTTCAGCAGACCAGCTGGCTGTTGCTGCCGTGTTTGTAGCTATGGGATCCTATAGGTTCATGATGTTGTGTTCATTTGTTGTTTGTTTGACATATGCGTACTTACAATGTATTGCATTACTTCTTCTTGCATATATACAAATATAGTGCATGTTGGTTGACATGCATGTTAAATATATGTTTGGTAGTGTGGGATTATATCCTGCCTTCATGGACATGCAACATGTCTACACCTGTTTCGGTTTCACATCTATGCATGTAACTATGCAATAATATGTTCTTGCATGATATATATATAGGTCTTTAGGTACTTGGTTTGCATATTAATGTTTTCTCTCTAGTATGCAGTTTGAATTGTCTACATGTATATGTATGTATAACTATGTAAGTATATATATATATGCTAACCCCCCCAGAACCGATTAAAACAACATTTCCACTGATATTTACAATAAACACCACACTTTTTTGGTCGATTAATTGGCAACAAGTTTTCCTGATATATATATACATATGATATGCGCATAACCCTCTTCATAATCTACGTTTGATGGTATATTAACATGTATGTGTTATAGTAACATAGTTCGTGTAGGTCAAATGTATGTATTGCAGGAACATGATACCTATAGGTCATCACACGCGACTCGCAATGAAACCTTCACAATTACCGGGGAAGGGATATAAAGAAGGACATGCTTGCTATGGAAAAGCAGATGACCGACAGAAGTAAGAGTTCCAATTTTGAAATGTTCGGCCATGTCCTAGATAATAACCTTAGTTTCATGCTATACTTTTTTGAACAGCATGTTTCATAAATTGGTGGCACACTTTGCTGAAGTAATACGACCATCTTCTCAAGCACTATTGGTCATCGATGGAATCTGCTGTAGACTCATGTTACACTTTCTTGGAGGGATGCTACACAGATTTGCCAAGAAACTCTTCACTTTTAAAACTACATATACATACACACATATATATATATACATATAATATACACATACATATGTGCATCTTCAAAGGAAGGCTTTCCTTGATTGACACAGATTTTGCACAGTTTGCAGTAATAGGACATTTTTTTCAAGCAAATGATGCACTAGTTTGAAAGAGATATTGTAGGTAATTGTGCTACTGCACTCTCTTTGCATAGGCATGCAGCACTTGTTTACATTGCCATAATTATATTTGAATAAGGTTGCTTTCAGATTTATAATTTATAATTACAATTTGTTTTGCATTGTTTGAAGCCATATTCTACTTTGTTTACAAAGATAAGATATTGCACATTTTGAAGACCGTTTGAAAGTCAAGTCACATAGCACCCTTTTCAAAACAAAACAACATTTCCATAGAACAGTTGTACTCTTTGAAAGGACATAAGGTGGTGCAATCCTTGCTTTACAACAAAAAACACATAGTTTTAAACATGCTTTTGCATCATCAATGGAATCTACAGTAGGCTCTTCCTACACTTCCTTACAATAATGTTGCACACCTTGCAAACAAGAATCTGCACTTTCAAAGGTAAAACACATGTTTCAATGAATGTGTCAGTAAGATGGCACTCTTTTCAAAACCATGTTGTAGTAATTCAAGAATAGATTCAATCTTGCAAAACAGCATACATTTTCCTACAGGAATGCTATGATTTTTGAAATGATTCAGTAAAACAATTCGATTTTGTCGCGAAACAAAAAACAAAATAAAACAACACAAAAAAAATATTCTAAAGGTCTTGGGGATGGGGGGGATTGGCACAAACCAACAAAAGCATCGAGAAAACCAAAAAAAAACAAAAAAAACAAAAACAAACAATATTCCAGAGGTCTTGGGGATGGGGGGGATTGGCACAAAGCAAAAAAAACATCGAGAAAACCAAAGAAAAAAAAGAAAAAAAAAAACAATATTCCAGAGGTCTTGGGGATGGGGGGGGGTCCCACCAAGAGTTTCCAAATATTGTTTTTTGTTGTTTTTTTGGGTTTCTCAATGTTTTTTTGATTTCTCTCCATGGAGTCCTCCCCAAAGAGACTCAATGCATTTTTTTAATTATGTTATCATTACATGGAGGTTTATACTGATGTTTTTTCTGTTTATGGTATTAAGTGGTGGACAGACAACTTGAAGAGCAGACAAGTTGAAAGGGTGTTAACCAAGTTTAAAGGATGTGAGCCAAGTTGCAGGAAGGTACAGAAAGTTGCTGCTTTGGTCTGTTCTGGGGGGGGTGACCGGTGACCATATATATATTTTTTGGCATGGTGCACACAGAAGCGTTCGGACGCTGCGGCACTTCGCAAATGAATTCAGGTCTTTGCCACTCCTGCATTACTTCACAACGCAATCAGCTCCAATGGTCGTTCCCATGTCAGTGCACGTCATTTGACGGCATAGCTGCAAAAATTCCGTTGGAAGATTCTGCAGGTCCCCCTGTTCAGACTCAGGGGGGAAAGTTGACAGATGGCGGACGAAGCTCTCGGCTAAAGCTTTGCACAGCGCTGGCGGATATTCTTTCAATATTGCCGTGCGAAATCTACCTTGTTCATCAAGGCCGATCGTGCCCTGCTTCGGAAGCTCTTTGCAAACTGCGTTGGCTCTGATGTCCAGGGGCAACTGGGGTAGGTTGAGCGTTAAAAGCCCAGTCCTCTTTGTGCTGGAAGCGCCTAGAAGTCCTTGTGCGCAAGTCAGGAGCCTGAAACCTGGGAGTCGTAGAATGAGGCCCATCAGCGGTAAGCGCCAAATGCTCGCAGCCTCAGGTTCTTCGGGTTCACCTGGATGTTCCAGTACACCAGTGCCTCCTGTGGTGGAGAGCAGAACCATAGCGTAGATGCTGAAGCCCAGTAGAAGGTGGCCGTCCATGATCTGTCGCATCTCCTTGATGGAGAGTGAGTCCAATCCCCACAAATGGTGGAGAGTCCGAGTGACTCTGGGTCCCTTGCGGCCTGTTGCTTGGAGTCGCTTGTCGTGCTTCCCTCTCGCAATAGACCACGTGCAACATGGTGGTCCACTGAGAAAGCCCACCACGTAGCCTTGTTTCATGGCGTCGAGCCACAGCCTTTGCGTGGCTGGTCGACTGATGTCGCCCCATACTTCATTGATCACCAAATCTAATGAGACAACATAGACATCTGCCATCTCGTGCTGTTTGGCCAAACCGTCAATGAACCACTGCAGGTCACCTGGGCGGCGTCTGCCTGAATAGGCGTGCAGCACGATGCGTTCCTTGAACTGCCAGGTGGGTCTCGGTGCCGGGGCGTTTCTCCACGTCTCTTGTTGGCTTGCTAGGTCATCACACCACTGTTCATAGAGGTCCAGTGCATGCAAATGCGTGCCATCGGCAATCTCAAATGCGACTTCCTGGAGGAACAACCAAGAGTTGACGTCCAGGAGGTTGTCAATGACATGCATGATCTGGTCTCTGGTGGCTGGGATGTCCATCATGGCTTCCTTGGTGAAAGAAGCCGCCAAATGGTGGAGCGTCAGCTTCGTAGCGGTCCAGCTCACTGCTGTACCTGTGATGATGTTCTTCAGCTTGTTCTCGAGGGCAGTCAGGTCGAGCTCCTCAACCTCATAGATCGCCAATGCAAGCGCCTCAAAGAGAGCCAAATGATGATGTTCTTCGTCTTGGTGATGAGGAACAACTTGCTGTAGCGGTCCACTGGCTTGCTGAACCGGAAGAAGTCCATCATGTTGTTCTCTCAATTCTTTGTTGGCCGTAGAGCCCAGACCAGGTGCTGGCTTGACATAATCCGGGCGCAGAGAAAGGATGGCTCTGCATTGCGTGGCTGTACGCAGATGATTTTGGAGTTTGTCATAGCTATGGTACTCTTTGAGGCACGCTTCGCACGTCGTGCCTGCAATCCATCTGCGTTCAGTGGCAGTGACTCCATGTGCTCGGAACATGTGGGCAGCTTCGCCGGCCTTGGTGCGACATCGTTTGCCACATTGCATGCAACCATAATGATGGTGTTGCTGGTGTGGATCAAGCGCTGGTCGGACTGGTGCAGTGGTCAGTTCTCCCTGCTGTTCCAAATGTGCAAGAACATCATGATGTAGTTTGCGCAAGAGGAGTGTGTCTTGTTGCTTCAGAACACTCAGATGCGCACCCCTTTGCAAAAGGGTTTTCCAGTAACTGCGGTGGTAGCGGAGCACATATTCCCACTCTGCAAAGTGCGTTGTGGGGTCTCCCAAACGGCAGGTACCCGAAATGAGATTCCAGAGCCAAGTCAGGTCACCTTGAAGTAGCGTGATCCACTCCTGGTCAAATCGGAAGAAGGCCCAAGGTGTCACATCATCACATTTGTAGAGCATCCCCAAATATCGGAGTCTGGCGATGCGCAAAAGATGGTCTGGATCTGGCAAATGGACCTGAGCTAGGATCTCGTCATCTTGTAGTGGTGCGTCATGAGGTACTTTCGCAAGGCGTCGGTAAAGTCGAATGACTGCACTTTTGAAGTATCGTTGTTGTTTCAGTTGGTCGAATGTCCAAGACTCCATACCGTAAACAACCTTGCTGAGTACCAATGATTGGAACAGTTGTGCACGTCTTGGCAGGGTAAAAGCAGGATTTTGAAGGAGAACACGTCGATGTCCCGCGAATGCTGTGTTACCCATAGCGATTCTACGTCGCATCTCACGATGTGAGCTGCCAGTGTGATGTGCTGCACTGCCCAAATGGATGTAGTTGCCTACCACAGAAATGCGATGTGAACCATGTTCGGTCACAACAGGCATGGTGCGGCCATTGTTCTCGCTGAAGTACTTCGTGCGTAAGCTGCGGGAGCCACATCCTCGAAAGGTGAAGAGGATCTCACTCTTGCCTTTGTCAAGGTTCGGCGTGACACCATGATAGGTGCAAGTCTCCAGGAGGACACTGGCAGCTGTTCCGGCTTTGTGCTCGATGCCCTTGGCAGTGGGATGTGAGATCGTTATGCACAAGTCATCCATCCACGTTGGTCCGAGCATGGAGTGTGGAGCAACACCTGTGTGG